TTTTGGATTTGATCAAAAAGGCTCAAGTGGAGTGATTGAAAAATGAGAATCGGAAAGCCAAACGAATCAGGGGTATGATTCCTTTATTTTTCAAAGATAGTCGAGGTTGCTGACTTAGTGTGGTAGAGTCTGGGTTCTAACTACTGTCGGTGTGAGACAAACAGTTCTAGAGGAGGAACATATGTCAAAGTTCTCAATCCATCTGGGGTGCTACAATGATGTATCAAGATCTGAACTTGAGTTATTAGTGTACATGTAACAAAAGGGAGATATCATGGTTTGTCAAGCGGTGCCAGACTTACAAGAAAGTCAAGGTCGAACATTAGAGACCTTACGACAAGATGCAGCCTTTACCCATTCCAATGTGAAAATGGGAAGAGATTACCATGGATTTCATCATAAAACTACCAAGGACAACACGTGGAGTTGATTCTATCTGGTTCATTATGGATAGGTTGACCAAGAGTGTTCATTTCATACCAATTGCCGATAGTATATCTGTTGAGAAACTAGCCGCCATCTATATTCTGGAGGTGGTAGTTAGACATGGAGTGCTAATTTCAGTGGTTTCGGATCGGGATGTTCGTTTTACATCCAAATTTTAGGGGAACTTTCTTGAGGAGTTGGGTACTCAGTTGCATTTTAGTACATCATATTACTCCAAATTGACGGTCAGAGCGTGCAGACGATTTAAACGCTCAAAGATATGATTTGGGCATGTGTTTTAGATTTTGGAGGAAGTTGTGATATTTACCTCCCATTGGCCGAGTTCTCATACAATAGTAGTTATCATGCCAGTATTGACCAACCACCGTTGAGATGTTGTATGGGAGGAGGTGCAGGACCCCGGTTTAATGGGAAAAAGTTGGACATCGGGTCATGGGAAATATTGAGGTAGTACTCAAGACTACGGAGTTGATTTAGCAGGTGCATTATAGCTTGGGGGTTGCACAAATCCGACAGAACAGGTATCCAGACCAGTGATGTTCGGACCTCAAGTTTCAGGTATGAGACTTGGTGCTTCTGAAGGTGTCACCTTGGAAAGGTAACATCCGATTTCGGAAGTGGGTCAAGATGGGCACTAGATTTATAGGTCTCTTTAGGATTTTCTCCCGAATAGGCAAGGTTGAGTACTAAATGGATTTGCTTGATGAGCTCAGCAAGATCCACAACACCTCCCATGTTTATCAGCTTTAGAAGTGTATGGATAACGAGTTTGAAGTTGTTCCCTTAGATGACATTCAAGTTGATGATCACCTGAATTATATGGAGAGACCGGTGGTGAACTTAGATAGGAACATGAAGGCCTTATGCAACAAGGTGGTATGTTTGTTCAAGGTCCAATGACAGCATCAAAAAGGATATGAATGGACTTGGGAGCTTGAGGCAGAAATGTGATGGGGACTTCAAGGATAAAGTCAAATTCAAGTGGGGGAGATTTGTAACATCCGGTCTAGGTATGAATCATCTATCTTGTATTTATTTAAAAGGAGTGGCCGTGACATGGTGGAAAATCACCACGAGGTGGCATATCATTTTGGATTGCAGGATTTTAATGACCCATCACGGCATGGTCTTAAGGCACCACGACGTAGAAGGTGCTTTTTAGTGAAAACCCTAATTTTCGGGTCTTGAACCCTATTTAAGGAACATTAAGGCTATGGTTTCAACCTCCATCTTCATCCCAACCTTAGAAACCCTAACCTTAGCCTCCATTGAAGTTGTAAGCTCATTATTGGTGCATTTTGGTGATTGTAGAAGGAGAATGAAGCTTTACGTGAGGTGGTTTCGTGGACAGCATGATTTCTTGTTAGGATATTAATCCTTGAAAGATCGATTAGATTCAAAACAGATTGAAAACAAAAATAAGAACAAGAACAAGACAATGATTCAAAATGTGCTTAATGATTATAAACCATATCCTTAGAAGAACTTGATTAAGAATTGCTATTGTAGAGGCATGATTAGGGTTACAAAAATATTTCCAAAGTTGTGAAAGACGGTGCATGCATGCATCTTAAATACTCTAACCCTAATAAATGACTGTGGACAAGTTCAATCCTGTTTACGTAAAGGAACTATTGAAATAAGACTTAATGATGCAACCCTAATTCCAAACAATCTCCCCCTTTGCGTCCATTGAGGCAAGAGGCTCATTACTGTCGAGTCCTCTTTGTAGTCTTGAAAAGCTTGGGAATGACTGTGAGAAGATGCATGCGAAAGGCAATGTACCACCTTGTCATATCAGAGTAAATCTTCTTCACAACATCGTCATTCTTTTTACATTGGCATGTGATATCCAAAATAAATTCCAAGGAAACTGTAGAGAACACATGCTTATCAGGAAATGCGAAGAGGCACTTCTGCAAACTAGCTCCTGAACCACGATGAAACATTATGGTCTAGTTCTCTTTTTCAATCTTCCCCATCTGCATCATGTTCATGCCTTTCATCTTGCTAGTAAGGGGAGCAGTAGGTATCCTATTTAGAAATAAAGCAATTCCAATGTCAAATTTTGCCACTTCATTAATGTACGAAATCAACATTCATTTTGTATAACCTAGAATAGGTTCATACTTCTTTTCATCCTTCAAAAGGAAGTGCAATAAAGCAATCCAATCATAGAGATTAAGACAAGGAAAATCGGCCAAGGAAAACTCGTGAACAATGCTTTCGGATCCTCTTGTTGTTTCGAACTTGATGTTCACGAAGCACCCTGTTTGAATATGCCTTATGATCTTCACGGTAGTAATCTTTTGTGCACTACAAGTGAGGTACTGAGGCTTAGCATGCGAAATATAAAACTCTATTAAAGAGTTATTAACTTTTTCATCTGTTGCAGGAGCATTCGCAATAACATAAAAACTGCAAAATATGAATGCTCGTGGAGTGATAGGCATATCAAATTGAGAATCCTACGAATTCTCCTGATCAAACAAAGTTACAGGCTCCAACCAATTTAAGCTTGGATTATCTACCGCCTCATTAACAAATTGCTCCAAGGTCCATGGTGGAAACAAAGTCTTTCGATTTTCCAAAGTGACTTGACCTTCGCGTTCTGATCTCTCCTTCGCTTCTGCTTCACGGATGATTCTTTGATGTTCATCCATTTCAGCCTCATGGGCCTTTCGTCTTTTGAGCTCGTTTTCATCAGGCTCTTGATATGGGCATATTTAGTTATAAAATTTCGCGCATTATCTTAATACTTTATGTTGATTTTATCTCATTTAATGAATAAAAGGTGCTTAATTAGTTTATAATTTCATTTTTCAGCAACAATGACATGCTCGGATGGAAAAGGAAGCGGAACTAGCGATTGGAGGCTTGGATCTTGGATTTTGAAGAAAGAAGGATGTTGCTAGACAACTTGACCCCTCATCAGTGTTTTGACCATATCTCATGAACCGTACTCCGCTTGAAGAGATTCAAAATGTTCTAAAAACTAGACACAATTTTGGATGACTTTCTTGTTTTGAGAAAATGCTGATTCCAAATGGACTCGACGAGTTGGGTCTCAACTCGACGAGTCACGTCGAACTTTCACGATTCTGGAGTCGCTAACTTGCCATACACTGGTTTTAAGTGACGGACTAGACTATTCACCTCTTTTTTGTGAAAATCTATATAAAGGGCATTCGTGCCAGATACCCTAGAATATAGATGAACCCTTGGAGGCCAATTGTCGACTAAAGGTGTTACTGGAGCGTGGGAAGCGAAGGAATCAACCCTATATTCAATTTTAAGGAGAATCAAGGCAAAATCAAGTTTAGAATTTACCTAATCTCTTGTTTGAACTATGTTTTTACCAATTGATTTCGTTTTTGAGCTTGTTTCTGCTGTAATCATGAGCTAAAAACTCATAACTTCTGTTTAGGGTAGATGAGTTTGTGAACATGGATTGATTTTATGGTTAGGATTAATTTTAATTGGTGATATTGTTTTGTTAAGCTTGTTAAAGAACCTCATATGTTAATAACAACTATTCTCTGTTAATAAATCAGTAATTAAGTTGTATGAACATCTCTTAGCTATGAATTTCATATGATTTATGTGACCACATAGTTATATGTCTAGGAATAACAAATGTGAAACTATAATTAACTAGAAGATAGTTAAATTAATGTGTGAGCTTGTGTGATACACTATCAACAAGAGGTTAATTGAATCACCAATTTGATTAGCTAATTACAAGTCTTACTTAACCCGAATCAATAAACTAGGAAATTCATTAATTTAGACAACTCGCCATTGCTTGAATTAATATGTTTTCTAAGGATTAGCAATAGAGAATGTGAACCTAATCACTTTAATCGGTAACTAATGAAGAATTAATCCGATGCATTTACCATAAAATCATCTATGGGAACAAATGATTCAAACCTAAACAGAAGTCCTCTTAACTATTGAACTTAGTGGTATTTACTTGCTTTAGCTGTTAGTTAGTTAAATTGCGTGTTAGTTAGTCTATTTAAGTTTCTAGTCTTGTAAACTAGAGAAAACCCCCTTTCTATTACTTGTTTTATTTAGATAATATTAGCATTAATTTTAATTGTTTACCGTTCCCTGTGTTCAATACCCTACTTACCTGAACTAAGCTGTTAATCAATAGGTACACTGCCTTTCGTGTGTTTGTTTCTGTGTCTAAGTTAGTAGGATTAAAACTAATGCATTCCATACACATCAGCTCTTCTTCGCTATCCACCAGTTTTTTCCCTTTGAAACCAGAAGCTACATTAACCTTTGGTTCATTGGAGATTTTTGGTTTTTGCTCATCAGTATTTGGAGGTTGTTGAGGTTGTTTTGATTGTTGTCCTCCTTGTTTTGGAAGGACAGGGGACTCCGATACACCCTATATTTTAGTAAGCATGGCTAGAGTAGGACGAAATTTGTCAGCCAAATGTCTTTGAATAGAGATTGAAAGTATAAGATCATGAGCATCAAGAATATTGGAGAGAGCATTAATATCTCCAACAACGCTTTTAACAACAACTCGTTTGGACTTAATCTCCTTGATCTCTTTGTTTGTGTGGGCGAGTTTGGAAGCTTGAACTTGGACTTTCGTTGTTGACAATAAGTTCATCCATAATACCGTTTTCAACTGCAAGATCTGCACGAAGCTTATCAATTGTGGAAGAAATTGATGTCCGAAGCTCAATGTTATCCGTTTGCAGATCAGTGCGAACCTGCACAAGCGCTTCTTTTTCATTATGAAGTGAGGTGCGAAGACCCATTATTGCCTCATTTGCCTTATGGTATTTGTCTTAGAAGTTGTCTATAGGGTTGTCATAAAAGTATGAGCATTAGAAACTAGCTTTTCAACCTTGTCAATCACCCCTTTGCACATAGCAGTCGAATCAGAAACCGCTTGATTCACTTTATCCATATTGGCCTGATGTTCTTTTGTCATTGACTAGAAAAACACCTCAATTGCTACCTTAGAATAAGCATCACTTGAAGATGTTTGAGAAGAATTGATCAGCGAATCTAGCTTCTTGGTGATAACTTTGAACTACCTTTGAGTAACAGGAGCATCATCATCATTGTCCTCATGAACTTTGATTGGACTAAACTAAAAGGATCCAAACTCAAACTCATCTCCTTTGAAAAATGTATCTGAATCATCTTGCCTCGGAGGAGAAAATGGAGGTGTTGAATGACCAGTAGTTAAACATCAAGCTCCTACCCCCTCATCAAATGTGTTGATAGTAACAGGAGGTTTATTAGTCATGTTCGTAGTTGATGTGGTAGCAGTTGAGTCAGTGAACATAGTAGTTGAATAAGCAATAGTGGTTTGAACTTCATAACTAACAGGGGTGGACATGGTGCGATGGTAATCGGGGTAGAAATGGTAGCAGTAGAAGAGGGAATAGATGCATCCTCAAAAAAATCATCAATAATCGGAACTGAGACAGGAATTGAAAAGTATACCTCTGGGTTTGCAGAAATAATCTGCGAAACCTCATGATCTGAAGTTGCAGCATTATCTTCGTTTTAAACAGGATCATCCACTACTGTGAACGTTTGCTTTCACTGGGAGTGGGAGAGATTGATCTGTGAGCAGATTTCTTAACCTTTTGCTTCTTGGTTGGAGGAGGAACTTGTGCAAAGGAGGCAACTTTTGCCTTTCGTTTCTTGGGCGTTGCAACAGCTGTTGAAGTACCTTCTTTGAAAATCTTCTTCTTTCCTCCTTTCTTAGGCTTATCAGCCTCAGCTAATATCGCTCGCATCTCATCAGTCAAAGGACGAAAGCCTAAGACTTGAATATTCATGTAAGCCTAAAGAATCTTGCTTGCACTAGGAATAGAACGAAATATGGCATCAGGAATAGAACCCACAAACAAAAAATTTGAGTTGTCAGCAATGATGAAATTCCTAGTGTGAAAGATAGAAATAATAGACATGAATGAATCTCGCATCACCGGAAGTTTGAGCTTCTCAATGGCCCGTTGAACAATAAAAGTCCAAAATCGAGTACAGGAAATTTCATTGTGTTGGCTTGAAGAATGAGTACTTTAGACTAATTGAGCCTAAAGAACTGCCCCAAATTTGAATAATAAAGTAAAAATCCCATTCTATTGAGGTGGCATATTAGGTTTTTTGAACTTGGAGATGGAGGGTTGGGTTTCTTTGTAGCCCATTTGGTAGAACATCTCCATAATGGCTGCAATTGTGATGGAATCAAGGTCTACCATATCAGCGGCCAGTTCAAGCCCTAGCAGAGAACAAAATAGGGACTTAGTGGTTGAGGTTTTCTTGTTAAGAACTTTGAACGGGGTTCTTAGTTCTTCCTTGATGTAGTAAGCAAATGAGTATGCCTTGGATAGAAGAGACATTGGAACAATCTCACAGATTGTCAAGGCTTTAACCAGCAGTGAATATTTCAAGCATTCAACGATGGGTAACATGAAGTTGTCGTACTTGAGAGGATCTAGATCTTGAATCAAGTTTTGGTTTTGCTTAATGCTAAGAAGAGATGACTGTCCTCATTGTTCTTGAATAAAAGGAGTTTCAGAAGATCCTACCGTTAGTGATTTCTTGACGATGATGATGATAAACAGTAGATGATGAAGATCGCCGAAACGTCTTTGAGAGTATTTGTAAGTTGTAAGGAGAGATGTAGCGGTAAATTCCTTTGTACCGTTTGTTTGGTGAGAGAAATCCGGAGAGTGATTGTATCGGGTACTGAAAAGTCACCTGCAAAAGCGCGATTTGACAACTGTTACGTCAGAAACTTGTCTCAGGGGGCGGTAAAGGAAACGTCAATTCAAATTTTCACGCGCCCATTTGAATTCCTATCCAGAAAAATTGTCGCGTCAGCTTCACCCTTTCGTAGTTAAGTTACGTTCCATCTTTCGCATATGGATACAAAATTTCACATTTAAGCAATATTAAGTAGAACTGCGAAACTGAAAATAAATGTGAGTCCCACAAACTAGACTTTGGAAAATCACAAGGATCTTCATGCGATAGTGTGTCAATGATAAAGAAATAAAGCAAGATATGTGTGTGATATTATAGTGATGTCTTAAGCAAGACACGAAACAATGGATCTCAGGCAAAGATCTCTTCCTTCAAATTCAAGAGAGACTAAGAAGTGTCTGTGTGGGTCCCCGTTGAATTACGATCACCTATTTGATAAGAAACCGTGAAAGGCATCTTTTCTTTAGGCTTCAGGGTGGCTTTTATCTTCAACCATACTCCGAAACTTGATATAAGAACGAATATTCGGATAAAGTACTCGTGTGACTGGTGTAGTCAGTTGAACAAGTAGCTTTGGAATTATTTTAGAGACTTGGATAGATTTGAAATCTGAAAATAACTTGTAAATGGATCTTTTGGGTAGAAATGTCTTAGGTATAGACCATTTCATTAAGATCTCGCAAAAGTAAAAGAGAATTCTTGGTACAGTCCACGAAATTGGAGTTTCGTCAATTCTTAGGTGAAAATTTTAGAACATGTATTTGTTCACCGTCAATTCATAAACATGTGTTGAATGTTACGTTTCACTCAATTCGTGGTTGTTGAAAATAAGATCATTAACACAGATGTTATGTAACCATAAACCTCAATGGTAATTTCTGAGAGTCTCAAGGGTTATGATCATGAATGTGAAAGTGAGGGAGAAATGTGGAGATGGTTCCAAAGAAATGAATATACATTTGCTATGCGAAAGTGACCAAGCAGACAATTCTTAACTCAATGTGAGAAGAGTAAGGTAGCTCATGACTTATGTGAATTAGCAACCTGATTAGGAAGAAACCATTGGTAGAATCGATTCATTAAGGCTTTAACATAGAGTCGTCGAGGCTTCAGACAACATGCAACAACATGCTTCTAGGGACACTCAGCTAGTACATAGGTAAAAATGATTTATACTTGCCCCATCATGTGAACTGAGAGTGACTATGAATGTGTTCCTTCAATTGCTTCTCGGTTATATATAATTTTTGTGAAAATAAAAGAAATAAGAAATAAACATAAAGAAAATATTTTTAGATTTTTGTTTTTCTGAAAAGAAATCAAAATAAAAGATATACTTAAACAAAAGTATAATAAACAAGAATATACATTATATATAAAAGGATACAGGAAAAATTCGAACAACGAATGAACAGTGGACTGCGAGTCACTACGAGCGTTCACACCGATTCGCAGCGACAAAGTTGACTGCGAATTATTGCGAGCGTTCGCACCGATTCGCAGTGACAACTTGTATGAATGCGAAAGTGATTTCAGAACAGATTCAGCTTCCATCATTCCTAGGCGTTAAATAATTCCATTGAAGGTTGTTTCAGGTAAGGGTTTTGTAAATATGTCAGCTAACTGATCAGCGGAACTTAAGAAATGTATTCCAACGTTTATATCTTCCGCATGATCCTTGATAAAATGATACCTCAGTGCTATGTGTTTCATCTTTGAGTGTTGCACTGGATTATGACACATGTGAATGGCACTTTCAGGGTCACAGTATAAGGGGATTCATTTCATATTCAGACCATAGTCGCAAAGTTGGCTTTGAATCCAAATGACTTGTGAAGTGCATGAGGCTACAACTATGTATTCTGCTTCAGCAGTTAAGAGGGATATGTAAGTTTGCTTTTTCGACTACCAACATACAAGATTGCCATCCAAGAACTGGCATCCTCAGGTCGTACTTTTTCTATCTAACCCGCATCCTCCAAGATCAGCATCCGAAAATGCTTGCACAAAGAAACCAGATTTCGATGGATACCATATTCCAAGTGAGTACGTTTGTTTTAGATACCTTAATATATTCTTAACAGCTGTCATGTGAGGTTCTCGAGGATTCTCTTAAAATCTAGCACAATAATAAATAGAAAATATAATATCTGGTCGACTTGTAGTTAGATACATTAAAGATCCTATCATTTGATGATAAAGCATCATGTCTGTAGCCGGTTTATCCAGAGATGTAGTTACTTTTACTCCAAATACCATGCAAACTTTCACCGGTGTGTGTTGTTCTTAATCACCCTACGTCACAGAATAAGAGAAGAACTTGAAGTGACATCTTTCAAAAATTAGAGCGGACGACAATTCGAAGACCGTGAAGATCATGTAGAGCGGACTTCAAGAGATAGAACAACAGGTACAGAAGCATAAATCTTTCAAAAAAAAAAAAAAAACAAAAACAACTAAAGATATAGTAGAATGCGATGGATTTTGAAAGCCCTAACCTGAGTGGTGATGTTCGGCAATCAGCAAGTTGATCAGTGGTACTGGTGTAGTGTTGAGCGATTATTTTTTGCCCCTCCCTCAATCGATTGTAAGTATATGAGATGTAAAACACCAGTAAACGTATATGAGAGGCTTGATTTCATCCAATAGAGACCTTCCCTTAATCACCCACCCTTGTTCCTCTCCAATCGATTGCTGGTCCTCCCAAATCCACCACTGTTGTACCCCAGCCCATCTCGTTTGTTAGCGGTCGTATTCAGAAGAGACGAAGAAGAATCAAGAAGAGGATTAAAGGTATTTGAGGCGATGAAATAAACCAACCCCAATCGAATTAAGATAAAACCAATGAACAGTGCATGGTTCAGTCACTCTCAATTGAATATTAGAAGATGAAGAGGTCTTTGAAGTCGGCAATTGAAATAAACGGGCTATGATGTTATAAGCTTCTGATTGGAATAAAGAGAAGGTGGAGGAGATTGGTTGTAACATCCCGAAATATCAAGAGTAGAGTTGAAGGGCTAAAAGTGTAAATTTTTGAAGGGCAACTCGGCGAGTCCATGGATGGACTCGGCGAGTAGGGTCGCGACTTTGGTCACGTGTCAAGTAGCCTACTCGGCGAGTAGGTGCTGAGTAGAGAAAACCCTAATTCTCGGGGTTGAGCCCTATATAAAGAAATTAACATCCATTCCCCTAGCCTCTTTACTCATC